TATATATATATATACATAGAAAGAGAGAAAGAGAAAGAGAGAGAGAGTGAGTAAGAGAGAGAGAGAGAGGAGAGAAAAGTATATATTTGTTAATATAGCCCTTTTACTTTGTTGCCTTATGTGCACTTAGATCGATTGCAAATTTATTAATTGTTAAATACAATTTTTAGAGAGCGTGTTATATATTCGTTTCTGTATTATTCGTTATACCAAACTTTCAGCATTTTCGAGAGCAAAGATTTGCACACATCACATTCAACACACGGAGCCACACGCACATACACACCTGTATTTAGAAATAGAAATTTTTTCAATAAAACCTTTTCAGTTGGACACGTTGAATTTTGTTTTTTCGTTTTGCTGTATTTTTACGCTCGGTCTACACAGCATAATGTATAGTTTTATTATTTGACGTTAATATAGAGAATTATCGGCATAATATATACATATGTTATGCCTGCTTTTTTTATTTCGATACAACTTTTAGGAATTTTATTAGACGATCAGACTTTTGTCAAGAAGAAAATATAACGGATTATATTCACAATTATCGCACTACTATCACACTATCACGCGTCTGATTTGAAAAGGATTATAGTGTGCCGAGCGTAAAAAGAGAACCTTGCATGCTTCCAATAGGAATCCTAACTTGTTAACTCAGATTGGGTTTGGTTCCTATCTCTTTCCCAAGATCTTAGGAGCAAATATTATTTGCGTGCAATTTTGTTACATTCCATTTTACAGTTACAAGCGGAATAGTCGCAATAAGCATTCCTTGTTTGATTAAGTGCTTCTGCTACAATTAATCCAGCGCTTTATGTGATTCTGTTCTTTGTCGTTTTGTTTTAAATTCGACGAATAAAAAAAAAAATAAATAAAAGAAGAGGAGTTTTACGCAAGTAAAAAATATATAAAACAGTATTTGTGTAATACTTTATTTTTTCAATACAATAAAATTATTTTCAAGTTTTGAATGTTTCGTATTTTAGATGTGGGTGAGAAATTCCTTGTGGATTTATCTCTAAACGTGTCACGTAAGGTCTATACATTATGTGTACAAGAATTAGTAGATTAGTAGAAGTAATTTGTCATGTTTCTTTAGTGTACGTTGAACTTTGCTTCTATCTGTAAAAATTGGCTAAGACTGATATTATCAGATTGAAAATATTTGAGGACTCCATATATTAATTTGAAATGAAACTTGTGTCTTGATGGGATATATTTTTGTAATCTGATTATTATATACTTTGGTGGCTTAGCCGATTTTTAAAATATGTCTTTAATATTATAATTAAATGACTGCACAATTTTTAATAATGGGTGTTTGCTCTTAGCGCTAGAGGATGTAAAAGTAGAAATAGCTAACGCATAAAGATAATTAGTTAACATCTTCCGACACGATATAATTGCTTGTCCATATGCATGGATAATAATGAGCAATTAATAAAACTAAACACGCGAATTGCAAGCTATCCTGTCGCATTACTTAATGTTAAAAATTTTGAGCGTAAAAAGTAAATTGTAAGTAAAATATATTAAGATAATTGATTAATCGCACGGGAAAGGTAAGCAATAACATTTTTCCAATCGGATTCCTACAGAGAATTCCTATCGAATTCCAAGAAAAACAAACATATATTATGTTTTATAAATAAAATAATTCATCCGTCAATTATCCTCGCGTATTATCGTGAACAAACTACGCGAATGTTATGCTTATCGTCGTTCCCCTCATCCTCTTCCCCATAAAAAGAAACAACGTGAATATCTTTTATAGATTATACAGTGCCGCCCGATCTGCCGACTGACTGGATATCATCAGATCATCCTCTGAAGCCCGGACTGACCGGACCGTACATCATGCCGATGCCAGTACCAATGCCGACTCTTTACAATGGCGAGACGAAGAAGTCGAGGCCAAGCATAGTCGAGATGGTCCTGTACGACATCGCAGCGATGTTGGCCGGCGTGGCGGCCGGCTACGATGTGAGAATGTCGAACGTATCCCCGATCCATCCGCGGCTGTATCCCAGATTGGGCGGCGAGTGCGACGGCGAGGATCAATCCAAATGGTGGTTTTTAGCGGACAGCGGATCAAATCGCAACTCTTACCTTGGCGCCGATTATGAGTTCAGTTCGAATAGCGGCTACCTGCATAACACTTATCACGGACGGGCACACCATTACAGGTAATCTGCCTAAAAAAAAGAAAATAATTGAACAAGACATCGGTTTAGTTTAGAGAACGAAACTATAGAGCTCTCTCTGATATTTACCAAGATTGCGATTAATGTTACAGGCCGTTCCTAAGCAACATGGGTGGCATAGCGCCTGGTCTTCCATCTTCGGCGATGCCGGCGGATAAACCACTGCGCTTCACGGACTCGCCGCAGCATTACACGAGCAGTATAACGGGCTCTAACGCTCCGACACCGAGCCCAAGAAGAAAGAGCAGCAGCAGCACCAGCAACGAGGATGCTTATTCGCACGACGCGGCCCGTGTCGATCCTCGGATGGAGAGGGTGCCGACAATATACATGGGCAACGTCGCCCCATTTCCGGATTACGGACCACCAGTGTATTCCGTCGTTCCATCGGAGTATTATCGGCCCCCTGATCCGTATTTTGTACCTACGGAGTATCAGTAAGTATACATATATAAATCGGCAATTATTTTAATAATTATAGAGGAGTAATTATTTTAATATTTCTAATTTTTTAATATTTGCGATTTAAAATTTGAAACTTACATTGCGTAGTGTATCTGTGGCAGACTTTTTAATTGGTATATCAATAATGTTAAAAGACTAGATCACTAATCATTCATCCTTTCTTTCTTTCAGCGATCGGATGCTCGAGTGTCCCGAATTCCCGCATGCATACGACAATCCGAGTAGTATAAATAGTCCGGCAAGACCAGTGTCCTCCAGACTTTTGCCTTACACGCATCACCGCACCTCGTCGAACGTCTCCAACGCGAGCACGTCGAGCCAGAGCAATGTCAATCCGACGTTCCGACTGGAGGACGAGGACGATTACGGCGTGTATTCGCCTGTACCGTATTACCAGCGACCATCAAACGTTATTTCTAGCTTGGTGTCGACATACGGCACGAGTATACTCAATCACGAGTACGGTTCGCCGTTGCTGACCCGTCAGAATTCGCATTCTGATTCCAATTCGAACTCAGGTGAGCGACCGAGCAACCTGGAGGTGGTCACGCGGCTGCGCTCGAGCCTGAAGCGATCCAGTTACAGCAGCAATCCATACAGCTCGCCGAGCAAGAGCGTGAGCAAGAACAATTCTGGCTCGGGGACACCGACGAATCCGACGCCGCCGGATTCGCTCACGTCCGAGGACTCGAGCTACGTCTCCGCCAAAGACAGCCAGATCTCCATCAGTCGCGTACGCTTTTCGCCAGTGACGTTCGATCGTGACGTCGCATCGGCGCGTGACATTCACGTAAGGGACACGCTGCTGGACATTCCGGTGCATGGTCAGAGCCAAGATGTCACAGTGCCGTTACAGGCCAATCGACGTCTCAATAGAAGCAGGAAGCCGAGCATCTCAGAGCTCGAGAGGGAATTCTTGTCATAGCACTGGCTTATTTAAAATCGCGCGGCTCTCACTTATCTAGGTAGAATCTGGAGTGTCGGGTTCGTCGATGCTTCATCTATTTATCGAGATCTCTAGCGAATCGATCTCTTTATACAATCCTCAGTTATACAATCGCGATTAAGATCGCAAAATCCGATCTTATAATCTGCGATCCGATTGATAGAAAAAATTTTCGAAACGAATTGCACGTTGTTGAAGCACTGCCTCCCGCGGACGATTTTCATCAGTACATTAATAAATCCGGGAATTAACATTCCATATAACACATGTACAATCCAATGAAATTCGTAATGTAATAGACGGTTAGATGATTTTTAATTTGATAACGTAATGATATTTAATATACATGTCGCGTATAAAGAAATATACACACCACGAGTGAAGATTGCATTCAAATTGCATACTCTATTATTCCGAAAGTAAGTATTTTTTCTCTGCAAAATACTGCAGGAATGTATCATTATCAATTCCAATTGTTAAGAATTAATTCCTTATCTGGAATTGACTGGCTCTCTCCGGTGATCGACTCGCAAAGAATTCCGCGATTAATAATTTATGGCTGATACAATAGTGGAACATCATGTGTACCAATATTGTTTATCGATATGATAATTAATATATAACAACATATACTGTTAAATAATAATTATCATGCATTATCATTCGCGTGGCTAAATCTCTGTGTGTTTATGCAGTTTGATATTCTTTGTGATTTATTGAGACATTCCGGAAACGTTATCACGTTTATATAATAATCAACGTTTTAACGATATGCGTATATTTGAAAATGCAAAGAGGAAAAGGGATATATGACTGCGGAAGAGAAGAATTATCGAGGATGTGTAAACGTGTGTGTGTAACATGCAATTCCATTACGTTAGTAAGATTAAAGAGGAGATATTTCTTCTCTTCGATAACTATCGCATCATTCGATCGTATCTCGGCCCAAAACGAAACTTATAAGTTCTCGTATTTGTAGCACGAAGTTTTACGTTCGTATATTCCTTGTAACGAAACTTTTAGTGATATTTGGCTCGGTGCGAATACGAAACATTCCAGAGAAACTTGTCCGAACGGATAGAACTGCTCTACGCAATGTGGAATTAACATTTTGTCAGATCTTGAATCGGATTTAAATATTATAAAGTTACTTTTCCTATAGTTCGTGATAAATGCCAATAGAGTGAATGTCAATTCCGCATTGTTTATACCAATTAGAATGAGATCAGTATTTCTTTGCGTACTTAAATCAGATAATGCATTGCGCGTATCTCTATTGGTTTCAGCAGAATTTGTCTTATAGTACTGTCGATAGAGAATCTCATGAAAAATTGCATAAATTTTGTGCAACTTGAACGAGCAATTCATGTTAAATTGTACACGCATCGGCAGCTCGATTATTGTACATTAATAGAAATGTATAAGATTGTTAGATGGATAATCGATAGTTGTCGAATTAAAAAACAATCACTATTTATATAATTATCTAATTTTATGTACTTTACAAGAGATACGGACAGCTGCAAAGTATTAGTTGTAGTATTATGTACTTAGCTGACTTTTTCCCCGCGATATTATGTGTATTAATCTACAGTATTTCCGACATAATCTCTCCTTTTTATCGCAATCAGTGTAACTAGTCATTTATAATTGTATTTGAAGTTGTACCATTGTTTTTTAGCGATACAATTCCGTTTTCCTTCATTTCGGAAAATGAAAGATAATTAAATTAAATAAAATTCCGAAAAATTATTTCTAAATTCCAAAAATCGTTAAATTAGACAAAAATTCTCACTTTTTAATTAATTTTTAAAAATAAATTTGTATCTATTCAGTTTTAAAGATTTATATATGCCGAAAGGGAGCAAAACGATGCTGTATCGCTATTAAAATAGCGTTTCTGCTCAATGATACGTTCTGTTGCAATGCACAATTGGATATGTACACGATTATACATCCATTCACGGGTACTTCCATCTCTTACTTAGGACGATCGACAAAGCATATGATCGATAAGTAAAGCTTACGAAAGACATGTATAGTATAGCAGTTTTCACACAATGTTTACGTGAATTATCGTCGGACGTGATTCAGTAGTGATGCGCTCTGCGCAGCTGTCACGCTCCTTTTGTACCTTACGAAACAGTACGCCTCTTTATAAACAATTTGCGTGTCTGTAGAAAGTATCCAAAGTGTGTAAGTAAGAAAATACAATAATGCAGCTGCGCAAAACGCGAGATGTATATTCGTAGGGATCATTTTAGAATAAAGATCCCTCTTTCTTTCTCTCTCTTTTTTTCGCGCACGATATACGTATAGAAGTAAGGATCATATTAATACTCTTTAATGACGTAGCGACTCTACTCTTACATTCCTTATACGTTCACGCATCTTTCACGATATTCACGATATTTTTCAGAAAGATATAAGTCGGATTTGTATTTTTCGTAGATATCCTTGCGTCGCACCAATATAAGCGTTTCTATTTAGCGTACTATTCAAGCGTGATATTGGTGTCTCTGCTACCTTCTTTTAATTGAAATTATTCAGGGAGATGTTGAGGAACGCTCATGTATCCCGTAACCATAAAGCATACTTTATGTGTCCCGAATGTACATATATGATCGCTGAATATGAATTGAACTGAAAGAATGAATTAAAATACGCGATGCACGTATAATTTTAATTTATCGATACACACTACGATAAAATAGGGAATGATCGAATTCACTTTAAATCTGTAAAATCAAAGCTACTTGCATTGTCTCTACGTCGTGTTCGAAGAAATCAAAACATCCTGTTTGTATCATGTTAATCTCATGTAGCGTGTTATGCACGAAAAGTCACGAATTAATATTTTCTCTTATCGTCGTAAAAAAGCCACTCTTCATTTACACTGTTTTCTTGAATGACAATCATCAGTATTGTAGATGTGATTCAAAAGACAAAGATTTATACTCATGTCTTTTTTAGAAAAACGTGAACCCGACATCGAATTTGGCAATATTACACAATAAAATGCAAATTTTTGTCTCGTCTTTGCTTTTTACGTGAAATGTCAAAAAGCGTTTAGAGTTATCTGCTTTTTGTACACCGATTATTTTTCTCGCGACACATTTAATGGGTATATACCTTTCTACGTTATGCGAAGGTATTCTGCGGTGCTAATATCACGTACTTAAATAAAAGCGACACATAGAAATTCAAAATGCTTCCATGGTAATGGAGAGAAAGAGAGAGTGAAAGAGAAATATTTGGCAAAATGTTGGAAAAAGTGCGAATATCGAGAGAATAATTGTTCATATATTATAGTAATTATGTAATTTATAATTGTACGAGGATATATATAAAACATTCGCGGCAGCTATTGATTGTGTAATGGCGTATCGCCGACAGTGCTAGTCTAAGCTATATTTATTTTTTATATATATGACAACAAAACACCTTAGCCTATAGAGATTAAGGGAAGATGAGAATCCGATTTTATACTTTATTAGAGAGCATTTACGCGGAATATGTTTGAATCGTTGGACAGAACGTGTATAATAGAAACGTGTGTTCAGAATAATTCTATATAGAGATAAACCACGTTGTATCATATCAAGTGAAACTTGAAGTCTCTTTATATATATTATCAGTCTACAAATATATATACATATATACATATACATCTCTGTAAAGAAAACTCAATAAATTTATCGTGTATCGTTCGTATGATATATTACGCAATATATCAGTAATTTATTTCTTTCAGATATTTTTTCTTATTGTGATATTTCAGATAAAATCAGATAAAATCATTCTCAATCAATATCTCTCCGCGAGAAAAGAACAATGATATTGAATTAATTGACGAAACTGACGATTTGAAGGAAACCGAAAATTTATTGAAACTCTATAGCAGAGAAAAATATAAATTCCTTCCTTCAAACGTTTATATTAGCATCAATGATCAATATTATTGAATCTCTTTTCTCTCGTATTCCCTTGTTATTATCTTTGCCAAATCTGTTACACTTTGATACAGGATAAATTTATCAAATTTGTGAACATACGAACGTATGTCGGGATAATGAATAATATAATGCGAGACTAACGTCGTTTTTACACTAATATACGATTCACGTTTATATATATGATGTATCCTCACTAGTTAGTTAGGTCTAACAACTGGATCTAAGGTTGAGACACTGAAACACAAAAAAAAAATACTCATCGTGAAACATAACAATCCCGTTGCTCTAAACCTGTTTCTTATGATATCGCATTTAAAACGTGTAAATATATATATTTTATGACGTATCTATATAGTTATATCTCGAGATTGCATGCATGCATTGCTTGCGCGAATTAGCAAATTGTACAATAACAACCACGACCAAGATAATTAATTATTAAACGAATTGTCTAATCGATGTACACACGTTCTGCGCTGTGATAGCTCCTTCTGATATTGGCTACGCTTGCGGCGCGTGCAGAAATTTTAATGTATAACGTATTTCATAAATATAAAAACAATTCAATACAATTCTCGCATGGGGCTATCACAATTTAGTATATATATA